ACTAATATCTTTTAGTTCATTCTTTATAAAACAAAATACTATTAAAATTCTATAATGTCATTTTTTGTTATTTTTTTTAATAAAACAAGATTCAAAAATAGAATGATTAATAAGTAAAATGAATGAAATACAATTAAATAATGTATTAAGAAAATATTTGGTTGTGGAACGTAAATAAATTGAATGAATGACATTTAAATGAATGAAAAGAAATAAATGTTTAGTGATGAGAAAATGAATAAATTTAAATAAAATACATTGTAAACTAATCAAAAGGAAAAATGAGTAATTGAGAGAGTATGAATGTGTTATATCTAAAATACTCAACAACAATTCGTTAAAACATTGTAGGTATTATCTTATTATTATATTCAGACTAAACAATATTATGTAAATGAATTTGAACCATTTCATTTCAAAACTCTCCTAAATAATACTATAATTATCAAAAAAGAAAGAATAAATAAAAAGAAGAAAAGATATTGTTTATGGTGTGATTATCTTTTGTTTTTAGGTGGTATTATTGTTTTTGTTGGTTGTGTTGTTTCATGTTTGTTTTATTGTTTGTGTTTGTTTATTTTGTGTTTGTTAATCTCAAAATTCTTTTTCTTTTGTTTTGAATGTTGTGCCATTATCAAACTTTGTGTGTCAGATCATGTGATGACCCTTATGTAATTCTAGGTGTTTCTCCTAGTGCCTCTCAACAACTCATTCACTCTCGTTTTCTTGAACTGACAAAGTGAACATCTTGTTCCTTCTCTTGGATTAAATTCAAAGTTTACCCATTTACACTTAACTTCTTTTCTTATGATGGTTTTCTTCTTGGCTGTGTTTTCTCTTTCAACTTCTTTGGCTTCTCTTCTTTCTTCTCTCTCTTTAATACTACTGACCACAACAAAATCCTTCTTTCTCTTACTGCTGCTCTTTCTCATCTCTTCTAACTCTTTTTCTTTTTCTATCAATCTTGTTTGTTCGTTTCAGGAAGAGTAAACACTCTCTGAAAGTATAATAAATGAATATTTCTTTAAAATTACATTGAATCATAATGACTTTTCATTTACATAATTAGAATGGTTAATTATGCATGACTGACTCATAAATTACAATTGAAAAAACATTGACTTTTCTAGTTAAAAAAAAGAAGATTCGGATAAAGATTTTGTTAATGAAGAAAGTTCTTACATTTTGAGTGGAGTAGAGTGGTAAAATAAGAAAGTATATTGAATAATAAAAAGAATTTGTGACTTGAACTTTTAGTGAAATAAGTAAAAATATCTTGTTCTTTTGATTATGTTTCAAAAAATAGACTCAACCGTTCAACAAAAATTCATTTTTCTATTTTAGCTTATAGCCATAAAATAATATTGATCTTAAAAATTTAATTCGTTACTTTATATTCTTATGAATTCTGAACCATGTTTATTAATACGTCCAAAAACTCTATCAGAACAACGAACTACTCGTCTTACTATGGATGAACGACTTACGTTATTGTCAATACCGTTAGAAAAAGAAATTCCACCGACTAACAGGTTGCACACAAGTTCCCATTTTCCAAATAGTTTAACTGAAACATCACCAAATTCTTCAAATAGCCCTATTAGTGTTTTTACTGTTCGTTCACACTCTGAAACCCAAACTCCAAGAAAATTTGTTATTGGAAGAAATAGAGCAAAGACTAATCTAACTCGAATTTGTAATCTTCTTAATCAAGAATCAGATAGATTTTCAATTAGAGAAACAAAAGAAACAAAAGGACTTTGGAAAACAGAAGAGTGTCATGAGGAATTACCAAGTGAAGTTAAAATACCTTCATCTCCAAGGCAACGTTTTCAAAGATTAGGAGTAAGTGATCCTATGCTTACAAGGTCTTTAGATGAAATTACTTTTGACTTAAATCAGAAATTAGAGAAAGTTGCATTAAGTGCTGACATCAAAAATACTACTTGTTTACGAAAGAAATGTAAACTAGGAATTCGTTGTAAGACTGAAAAAGTTTTAGCAGATTCTCCTGCTTGAATATAGATAAAATACATAGTAATTTACATAGAAATGTATAAGATAAACTAAAGAAAAAATTTAATTAATTTAGTTTCATTGTGTAATAAATTTATGAATACGTCTCAATAAAGTTGATGTAGTTTTTATTTTTTATTTATCAATAAAAATACCTATTTGAGTATTATCATAACATAAAAAAAGTTTAATTATTAATAAATTAATCGTAAAATGAAGCTACGATTATAGATTTAATGTAATGGTAACTATTTTGATAAAAAATATCTTCATTATGATATGGTGGAAGATGTTTAAGATAAATAGCTAATCCTTCACTCATCTCAGTAATGGTATGATTTCCTGATGCAATAATTACATCATGACCAACTTTAGTTTCACCATTTGTAATTTTTAATCTTTTTTCTAATCTTTTTGAATGGTCAATTACAAACACTGTATATTTCTGTCTAAATACCACTTTTTCATTTATTAACATTGGAGGTTCAACTTCATATGTTCCAAAAGTTGCTACATTTGTTTCATAAAATATCATCATAGATGGCATTAGTGAATATTGTTTTAGTATTTTTGGGTTAATTTCATTACCATGTGCTTCCCATACAATAGTTGAATTTTTAAACGGAGTCCATCCTAAATAAGCTGTTGGTGTAAATTCTTTCTTTTTATCAATAACTTTTTTACGAGGAGTTTCTTTTGTTAATACAAGTTCTTCCATAACAGCACATTTCTTTTTTCTTGTTTCTTGGGCTTTATCTTTTGAAACTGTTCTTGTTTCTCACTTCTAATAATTTGGTTCATAAGATCATCCCATTTATGTTCTTTTT